ATCAAATAACTTCCAAACAGAATCAGGCGGTTCGTCCAACATCGAGGCATATGACTGTTAAGAGCTTGCCAGAAAAAATTTCGATCACCAAGTGAATGAGTTCCGCCATTGAGAGGATGAAATTACGTCCAAGGCGAAAGATGAAAGTTCCTTGCGAAAGACCGATACAAACAGCTTCTAAAATTCTTGTATCTGTCGGGTGTCAAAGGGCTGCATCGACTCTGTTCTGGTTTTACTAATTATCAGGCGATAATTTGATCACTTGCGATGTGGTACGCGAGAGCAGGGAGAAAACTCGATCGCATAGACGAATAACCACAATGACCCCCCTTTTTCATATAGGTAGCTTTAACCGAAGCTGTTGAAAGGGGTATCCGTTATTCTCGTTTTTCTTTATGAACGTCTGTCTCGGATTCTTCACTGAATAGATAGAATTAAAATTTGCACCGTCACTAACGGATTTACTATAGACTAAACTGTTACTGAGCATTCTTATGAATGAAAAGACTCGCTGATTTGAAAACGAAAAGATTAATTTTTATCGGGTAACTAAAATGTCTAGAGGCAAGAGGAAAACGTTAGTGATATTGTGCTGAGTAAGGTTGAGTTGGTTTTGAATAACTGAATGAATGGATGGTTCAGTTCGGTTGTGGTTCGGTTTTTGCACCCCCCTTCATGTGGTCCCGTAGCGCTTTCGCTCTGCCACGTGACCCGGCTACTCGACACCGTGCGATGAAGGGTGTATGTCCACAGGTTCGCACATTTTCCACATTTCGCATAATCTGGCCTGCAAACATCATTAATCTGGGTACTCGATCTTTGATCTTGATACCTCGAATGTCGAGGATAGCAACACAGTTGAATGGATGGAATGGTATGACAACATATTCTCTATTTTTCTGACCGGGGTGCCTTCTTGAAACTTCTGAGCAGTATGTTGTCGTTATTAGATCGAAATCAGGATCAGTTGGAGAAGTGCATTTGATAGGGATGGGTAAGATTTTCAGTTAAGAGAAGTTTGTGGCAATCTGGGATGTTCGTTCATCCAGCAGTGGATCGAAAAAATGTTTATGATAATGTTGTAACGGCTATCACCATCACTAAATATACCTGACTCTAATGACGTAGAACTGAATGGCTGCCTTGTAACCTGGTGACCCCTACGTAAGATTCCAACGTCAGTCCTGTATGGATATCATTCGTTGCACTATCGCATGTTCCTTCACAGATTGCATAAACCTCACGACCTGCTAAAAATAATCGTGAATGCATGTATGGATATTGGAATTAGCAAATGAATGAACGAAAAGAAAAGTATTCTTAGCAGGTTTATTTCGCACAGTTGTGCTATTTACAATTTGCTTTTTGCTTCAGATCACAGTAATTACGTACAACACCAAATTTCAGACCGTTGGAAATGGTTCCAGCGTGATTTGAAACATTGGGAAACTTGCAGATAGCATAACTGGGCAGAGTTAATTTGTTAATGAGTATTTTTATGGCAAACTGTATACCAGCAGAAGCGATTCTAGTCATGCATTTAAGAATGAATGAAATAATGAGTTACTTAACCAATGAATGTTAGTGAATGAATGATTTAACCATCTATTTCATTATTGTAGTTCTATAAATGGTCGTTTCATCTTTATGCACGACGTTTCTATCGGTGCCACATCGATTGTCATCAAGGTAGCATACGATATGCAGTTGATTGAAACGTGGTTCTACTTATTAAAATATATTTATACATCGTCATGTCGCTAACCATACAGTAAGAAAGAATAGTGATCTTCAGTCTTTCACTTCGTTGGTAAAAGTAAAAAGCTTTAGACATTGTTTGCTTGAATCATTTTGATTATGATGTATTATAGGGGCCAAAACAGATCCCACTGCTAGAAACACGCTATCGCTCGAAAATGTGTTTGTTTCCGGCGGTACTCTAGCTGATCGCATAGCCGCATTGATTCTCTTGGTGCAGCATTCGCCGGTGCACAACCTGAAACATCTAGATGCGTTGGTGAACATGGCTTCGAAAAAGAGTCGTCGAGAAGCTACGATGACGATTGGTTTCTGCTCTACTTTTTAATTTACTAGTCCAGATATTTTTTATAAAATTTCTCACGCGTCTTTGATTAGCGTTTCTACAAAGTGAGCATTAATTCGATAATCATGTTTTTCTGCTCTCCAAAAACTATGGTTTATGTCAACGCATCTTCTGGTTGACATATTTGACCTTCTTTCACTTGTGCTATTGTATATTGTATAATGGTGTATGATTGTAGGAGACAAGGGTTCACTTTTGCTTCTTGTAACCCGCGTAACATATTTCGATATGTATAATAGGTTTAGTATGATTTTATTTGTTTTACTGAATCACTTTAAATATGTCAGTAGTTCAATGCCTGTAACCACAGTGAAAAACGTTGCACAGCATGAATAATATACCTGCTAGGAGCACTCTTTCTGGCGATGAAGAGCATGATCTCTGTCAAGCAAGTGAGCAACATAAAAAAATAAACCTTTTCTCCTAATGTGAGATGGTCTGATATCGTCAGTTTTGTGTCTGCTAGTCTTCTGCTCTGCACATAATAACTAAAACTTTTCCTGCCCTATAGGGATATTACATAAATTATAACATGCATATGATAGCACCTACTTCCAATTGACTTGGGCTGCTAAGTCGATGGAGCGGCGGAATTAGAATCAAAAGGTTCTGATTTCGAGCCCAGTTCAGGTCACTCGCCTTTCTTACTTTCATTAATTCATTCATTTTTACTTGAGTACTCCCTAAGCAACTCTCTAAGTAGCCTTCCAATACTATAGCAGAAAGGAATATTTAAATTTGTTAGTTATGAAGG